AAAACTATGACAGAAAGTAGTTTTGGTCGATCAGATTCGATATTGGTGTATTCAGTGGGTAGCTCGCGGCAGTGATAAGATGACATGAAGTCAGCAGTGATAAAGCTTGGTTTATGTTATAAAGGCAAAGCCTCAAGGAAGGACTATCTGCCTGAGGTCCTTGGGGATCTAATCTAAGGGGACTCAAGGACTATCTGCTAAGGGAAGCAAGGCATTCGTGAAGAAAGTTCTAAGAGAAACTGGCTCGTATACGCGTTACGTACAAGAAAAGCGCGAAAACGCACATTCAGCCAGCCCGTTCGCGGTATTCGAATCTCAGACCGAACTACAAGTGTTCAGCGACTTTACCGCTCGGCCGCCGATGGATCCGGCAGTGATAAGACTTGGAAAAAAAGAAACTAGGAATGAGGGTAAATGGGAGACGTGTAAGGCCTGAAAGTGTCGCAGGGAAAAACGGAAAATAGTGGCAGGAGGATAATTTACAGTTAAAATTGCGAGTGAATATGAAAATAGGCCGATAAAGAGATCTATGCTAAGGACTTTGGAGGATCAAATACAGTTCAAAACGGTGCTGGAGGAGAAAGTGAATGAAATGACTCATGAAGAGAGCAGACATGCTAAAAATTAAGTCGAATTTTTCTTGATATTTATTGCGAAGTGGAATTTCAAAATGAAGGTATGAGTAACACATCTGCTTTAAACAATCGTGGATACTCGTAAATATTCAGTAAAGATTCAGTGTAAATTTTTAATGTCACAGACCTGTAATTCTGCAAACATAATACTGAAAGTTTAATGTTTCTAGGAGATGTACTAAGCGCTGTGATGAAACATTAGTCGATCTTATACATACTATTGATTTCTGTAATGGGAGTTTGAAACGTTAGAGTATGCAAGAGGAAAATTAAGTTCTTGTACTTAAGGGGACTCATACACCTTAAAACCCATAAGATGTTCGAATAGGTGACTGTTGCAAGAATTAGGATAACATATTTATTTTAAAAGCAATTACTACCAACTTTTTACAGATGACTACATAATATAGCTGCTTTCTGAAATAGTAATCAGAAAGTTTGTGTTGCCACAAATATTTTTATAATTTAATCCGCTTTGTGACAACATTTTTCGTCATGTTTCCAACTTGCGCGCACAGTTTAAAACATTCTGTTTCATAATTTAATTCCATATTTAATATATAGCTTTTATAACGTCTGGAAACTACTGTGAACCTAAAATTATAAAAAATTCATGTTAAATTTTTATTTTATTTCGAGTTGAGATTATAAAATGTATTTCATGAAAAACATTTGTAATGTTTTCGTCCATAAAATTTTTCAATAGTAAAATATTCATCAGATTGTTGGTTCAGTTAGAAATTAGTGCCCATATAAAGAATTCCGTCCAATTTCAAGTATGTACCATTAGCCATTTTTTAAAATATCATGCGCGCAAGGTGGAAATATGGCGAAATATTTTGTCACAAAGAGGATTAAATTACAAAAATATTTGTGGCAACACAAACTTCTGGTTACTAGTTTCCAAAGCAGCTATATCATGAAGTCAGGTGTAAGAAGTTGGAAGTAATTGCTTTTAAAATAAATAAAATATCCCAATTCTTGCAATAGTCACATATTCGAAGATCATGAGGGGTTTAAGGTGTATGAATCCCCTTAAGACATCGCCGTTTTTCCGGTACATGGGTAGCTTGCAGTGCTGGGGTATACTCGAGTTTAATCGCTCAATACTTTTCGCAGAGATAATGAATGAAACCGTTTCAAAAATGATATCTACACCCAGTCCGCAATGAATCGACTGCGATAAGTGACCTCTGACAATAAACTTTAAGAACTTCACTTCTATAATAGCACACTGCTTCAGGTACATCAAATGCAAGATGCTGGAAGGCAAGAGTGAGGCGGTACACAAAACTGCAACACGAGGTGATTTTTTTCCCTCGAGTTCCATCTTTACGGCTGTAGACAAGGAAAATGGAAATTGTTAAAGGTAACGATGTAAATGGATGTAGCTAGGGGGTTTCGAATGTACTACAGTTCTCTTGTCAAAGCTATGCTACTTAGCCCAATAAGTAGACAAAATCATGATTTAATATGAAATATATTTTCTTCTGTTTGCTTACAAGCGATCCTAAATGGTATAGAAATTTAGAGAAACGTTACGTGTTTATGTTTTTCATTAATATTCCACATTATAAAATACATATTTAGAAAATTTAAGCTTTCTGTATCATATTTGTTTATACATGTAGATTATAACTGTTCTAGAGCAGAAATGGCCAACAAGCCGATCGCGAAGTACTTATTAGTCGATCAAAGACGACAAAAGATATTATCAACTCTCGAACGCAGCTTTAATTATCCACAAATTAGTGACTTGAGAAAAATATTTAATTAGAAATTTTAATACTCAAATAAGAGCTCAACAAAGCGTTTTAAAAAGACCTAAGTTGAAATCACGTGCGGTGCTTACTGTATCATTCAAAGTAAAGCCAAATGTTAGTATATATATATATATATATATATGTAATATCTTGGCAGTCGGGCACATGAATGAAGCTTGGAAGAAATGGTGACACAGAAGAAGTTAACTTTATAATCTCCATCTCTTTGTTCAATTGAAAGGCATTTTATCACGCTTTACTAAATAAAATTAAGTTTAAATTCACTTCGTCATAATTCGAACAAAGAAAGGGAGAAGGGTATCAGCACAGATCTTAGTAGCAATGGGTGAAGGTGATCTCTCTGACGCAAAATGGCGCGAGTTCTCTTTTTATAAAATTAAAAATTTTATCATCACACACGCACACACATACGTATATATATATATACGATTTTAGAACGGAAGTTTAAAAAATAAATTTTCTTGAAAATGTAAAATTCTCTTTTTAAAGTAGTTAATAACAAGATCGAAATTATTATTACAAATAAAGATTTACAACTGTATCGAAATACTGTCATGCGGCAAATCCAGTGAAAATACAAGAGGATATTTACATAACGTCATTAACAGATGTTCTCGTTTCCCCCTTGAATTTCATAAAACGACATAGCCTTAGTTTTATTCGTATGATTTTTAAACATTATTATCATCTACAGAAGTGTTGCTGGGTATGATTTATTTGAAAGAAAGAATTAGACATGCATATATATTCGTCTGTGTTTAACGCTTCTTCTCTAATTTGAAGCTACCATTTTTTATAGTTTCAATAACAAGAGATGCAATGATAGGCCTCTTAAATTGGTTTACAATTCTATACAAAAATGCTGACGAATTATTAATTGTTTTGAGCTATCACTGCATAATTCACCAACAAGTACTAGTTAGCAAATGATTAAATACAAAAAATAATAGACATATTAAACAAGAACAAGAATCTGCAATTTTAAATGATGAACCTTGTTTCGATGGTTATTACAGACTGTGCATCATCAAAATTAAGTGACTTAAATAAAATATAGAATTGGAAAGAAAAAATATAAGACAAAATTTTAAACGAAAAGTAGCATTAATGCGTACAAAACTAAATCTATTTTGATAATTGATGGCAAAACATGTAATAGCAAAACCATTTTCAAGTATGTTTAGTCACCTTCAAAACCGTCAAAATTGTAATTATAATATTGAAAAATAAGTTGAGAAACTGAAAAGTGGATTGAAGAATATGAGACCATATTTTGAGATTTTGAAAAAAAAAAAGTTTTTTTAAGATTTTTTTTCAAAAGGATTTAAACACAAAAACGAATTAGAAATTGAAATTATAAATCTACAAACCAATCTGTCCATATAAGTCACAGAAGGTTTTGGGGAATAGTAGTAGGTAGATCCTGATGTATTTTGAGAAAAAGGTCGATCCTATGTACACAGAAATTGGCCACTTTTTTTCTATAGCACAAATTAAAAATAGATATTATATTTTTCTTTTGTTAAAACTCTTGGCTGACTGTTATTATTAAGGATTATTTGCTCATCTGCAATCAGTTTATTTAATATCAGTTTATATAATATATTTAATATTAATATTCATATAAAATCTGTTCTTACAAAGACAAAAAAATATCGCTCAGCTTCAGGCTAACGCAATAGTTATTACAATATATTATTACTTCGTAATCAGAAATTAGTGTTTAGACATTTATTTGTTTGTTTTATTATGATAAGAAACGTAACATTTAGTTGCACTTAACATAATGTCTTCATTTATTATTACAATGGGTATTTTAAATGCTTTCATTCCAGTGGGTAATCTCATATTTTTGCATAAGTGAAGATTGGAAGTGTTATCTGTACTTGTGTCTGGTGAATAAAAAATAAGCAGTTTGTCTATTAGATTAATGGTTTTAATCATGATCATTTAATTTATAGTTGTCAGCCAAGAATTTCAGTGGTCAGGATTTTCAAAGTGTCTTCTGAAGTTCTAGATTTAAAAATTCAGAATTTATTTTAATATTTTAAGTCACCATATTGAAAGTACCACTTTCAATTTAAAATACTGAACATTATCATTGATCACCCTTTGTTTCTTTTCTGGTTTCATACCTGTGTGTTGTATGAGTCTTTTATAATTAGTCTCTACTTACTTTCCTTCTCTTAATTCACTTGTACGTTATCACATATTTTATGATATTCTGAAAATACATTATCCCTGTTGACTTCACGTTTATTCAACTGACTTGATAACTTCATATAAATTCAGAAAATATTTAGAAACACTATTAACATTCACATTAATACTCAACTAAAGGTATTACTCAACAACGTTAATTAGAAATTATACCAAGAAATCACATTATTTTTATTAAGACGATAAAAGGATTACAAAAATAATACAATTATTATAGATTAACATTGCAGTTTAATGTTTTTCAACTTAATTTCTATAAACATGTATAGGTGATTTATTTAATTTCATAATCGACAACACATGAATATATCTACGTTAATAAGGAATTCTGGATTACTTCAAAATACGATTTCATTTTTCAGATAACAAATAAAAATTCTATAACTAGTAGTTTATATTTGGAAACAGCAGCTTAAGATCAGGATGCTTCTTAACGTTTCCGCCGAATTGAATTCGCTATTATTCACGCAGACATCCTGTAAAAAACATTTAAAAGAAATATTTACACATTATAATTTACTAATTACTTGTTATATATTTTATGAAAACTCATATTTAAAGTGAAAAGATTAACTTTTCTGGAAAGTAAATAATGGGTCATGCAAAAAAAAAAAAAAAAAAAAAAAAAAAAAAAAATACAAATAACCTCGACATCTTTTTCCATAAAAGATGATTAAAATGATGTGATAGATCTCTTTCTACCAATAAGCTCTGCCTTTTGGCTATACAACTTTGAACGAAGGAAAGAAGTTCGAAATCCAGGCTTTCGGTGAATGCTTTCCTGGTTTACATTCTTTAAACATTTACTTTCCAAGTTTGTATATTCGTTAGTGCAAAACTAAGATGAAATCCGACGATTGCACCAGGGTTGCACTGCAGGTACCATCTAGTGTAGTAGCTGTAGTGCATCTCCCCCAATTTTTTAAAATTATGTCTATGATCGTTGTTGCTAATCTAATATTTTTAATAACTTAGAAATTATGTCAGTTATATAAGTAGAGCTTATGTGTCTAAAAGTTGTGTTTTGTCTGGTTTCTTGTAAATAACATCGTAAACCGTAGTTCCTGCAATTATTTTCGCATCCTTATTTTAGGACCATATTTCTGTGATAAAATAATACCCATGTATTTTTTGCTTAGAAAATACAAAGGCAAACCTATCGTGTGAATAAAGATTATTTTACAAAAGGGGCGAATGGATATGGTTGTGATTCGCATAAGATTAAAAGCAATCTTAAAGCCATTTAATATATCATCTGATGAAACTTTAACAGATGGAATTCAAAAGTTTCAAAGAGTTAAAGGGAAATTCATCAGACGAGGGAAATTACGAATTTATAATTATTTGGAACAAAGAAGCTAGTAATCCGCTTTGAATTGTTTTTGTTCCATTTTTATAGGTATTATTAGTAAATTGCTAATTCGATCTTTTAAAGGAAACTTCACTAGAGTAAAGGGATAATACGCTTTTATTTGCTGATAAGTTTCTCTAAGCTTTTTCTAATATGTTAAATTTCAAAACATTAAATCTGCCTGAAAAGACCTTTTTTCTATTATTGAATATTACTAATAGGAAACAACACTAGTTTCGAACAAATTCCTCTATTTTTCTCACTTCCATTTTCTCTCAGCAAAACATGACATGCGAGAGAAAAGTATGAGAGAAAATATCGTATGCATCAATATTTTGGAGGAAAATCAAATGCTTTTCTGATATATTATAGCTTTATGTATTTATATCTGTTGAAGTTAATGTTTCAAGAAACTTTTAAAGCGGGAAATATCAGTCAAATCTAATCTTTTCATTTATTTGAACAACGTTATACTATCAAACCGTGATCTAATGGTTTCCTTGTCGTTTTTACAGAAAACATCTATGTGACACTGAAAATTAAGAGTCATGACAAATTTATTTATTCTAGAAGCTCACGATATTTGATTTATTTTTCATTTTATAATAATGCATTATGTATTAGTAGCAAATAAAGTACATATCACGGAGTAATCACGGCTACTATTTTGTAAACATGATTCTTAACGTGCTTTTTAATTAAAGAGGTATATAACTTCTTATAGTATTAAGTTCTTTTACTGCAGAATTTCTTAATATGATTTCTTAAAATATTATGAAGGAATTATTCATGGGTATTTTATCGTCTAGTATGCTGAATAATGTTTTCAAAAAGCGTATTTAGTACAGATGGGCAAAGTAAGGCATTTTTGAACTAAAATTAAATTTACATATTTGAAATGTACTCAGATAATGATTTCAAAATGTATTTTAATCAAAAGCATTTATTCACACTTTCTTTTGAGTCAGGTTTTAGAATGCATATTCCCGATATAGCAGCATAAGTAATCATACAAGAAATCAAAGCGAAGGCATCATATGATGTCTTCGCTCACATACAGTGCATCCGCAAAGTCATGATGATATTTGATCCGTCACAGGAAGGCAACAAAACAAGATAGAAATGTGAAATCTTCGCCAAACAAAAGGAAAACTCTCCAAGTTTCCGTAGTATGATGTGGAAGCATGTGCACACACAGGTAATAACGCAACACCGGGTACTGCGAAGCAGCAGATCAGCCAATCCACGCACACGCCAGTCGAGATGGGGACCGCACAGAGGAAAGTTCAGGGTGTTCTCTTGCTTGTGTGGTGATGGCGATAAGGAGCGCGCCTTGCGCCCTCCGATAAGTGTGGCAACCCTAGAGGAGAAGTTTCTTACGAGTAGCGAGCAGAGCGAAACAGGCAGGCTGTCGGGGAGTATGCGCGATGTTCCTAAATAAAGCTTAATTTTTATTGTGCACTATGTCTTGTTAATATTTATATTAATGCAGTAAGAACATAATCTGTGATATGGAATTCGAGGATTGGTGGTAAAAACATAACCGGAAATCTCCATAATGGTAACCCGGACTGTGTTAAATCGTATGAACAGTTCTCAAGCACTTTCGGTTTTGACTACAAGCCATCACTCAAGATCTCCAAACCAGAAGTAATGGATTACATCGGTTTTCGTCCTCCGGATCACAGATGAGTAGCAATTATAGTTATAGATCATTTTATAATTCTGATTTACTACTTATCATTTAATTTCATTTTCTTTAGTAAAATTTTTGCTTTTATTTTTGGCTTAAAAACCTTGCACAATGTCTGATGTTCATGCCGTCCAAATTCCGGTTTATAACCGATCAGACCCATCTTTATGGTTTATTATGTGTGAAAAGTACCTTTGCTCTTGCCACCCCCAAACCTAGCACACAGAATCCATTACTAAATATAATTATGTAGTTGCTCATCTTCCTCCAGATATTGCTTCAATAGTACGGGATCTTTACTTATGAAACCAGACCTATTGATCCATATGCAAAGCTTAAAAACTGAGTTAATAAATCGTTCAGGAGAATCTTCTCAGCAAGAAATTTCGCCAATTATTATCTGGAGAGGAATTAGGTTCTTCGAAAACCTATCCGATTTGCTTAGAAATATGAAACGTCGAGCAGAATCTTTAAATGTTCCTGATAACTTAATGTTAGAATTATTCCTTCAACGTTTGCCTTCGAACTGTTCAGTCTATTTTTGGCAGCGGTTGTCCAATTTAACTGTAGATAAAGGCTGCAGAAATTGCCGACAGAATTTTAGAAGTAAATCCAACCCCAGGGACTTGTGCCGTTTCTCGCACAGTCGATCAGTCTCTTGAGGATAAATTATTTAAACAAATAGAAAAATTAAACAAACGTATTGATCGCATTTCTCTTTCTCGTGGTCGCTCGCCAAATCGCGGAGATCGCAATAAGGAAAGAAGCAATTCCAAAAGGAGAGATTATTTCTGTTTGCTGGTATCATAGACGTTTTGGGGAAAAAGTGTAGTAGAGATGACAAATATACAAAACCTTGTTCATGGCAGGGAAACGAAACCAGCAAAGAATAGAGGCGACTTATTCTTTGCCTCAAGTTTCACGTCGCCTGTTCGTTCGTGACCGTAGAACAAACCTTTCATTCTTGGTCGATACCGGCTCTGACGTGTCCTTACTTCCAGCAAATAATTCTCAAAAACGGAATTCGTCGCCAACAAACACTTTTTCGCTGCTAATTCTTCCTACTATTCATGTTTATGGTCAAAAAGCACTTTCTTTGGATTTCAAATTAAGACGACAGTTTACATGGACTTTTCTTATAGCAAATGTTAGTACACCCATTCTTGGAGCAGATTTTCTCCATTTCTTTGAATTGGTGCCTGATCTCAGAAACAAATGTCTCAAAGATTTAAAAACGCATTTTAAAACCGTCGGTTGCGTGAAAAATGCAAGCATTTATTCAGTAAAAACTGTATTTAGTGATACACCATATCACAAAATTTTAAAAGAATTTCCTTCAGTTACTAGATTACCAGATCCTAAACCAACCTGTTTTAAACACAACACCGTTCATTATATCATAACCAAAGGTACACCTGTTGTTGCAAAACCTCGTCGGTTAGCTCCAGATCGCTTAAAAATAACAAAACAAGAATTTCAAACTATGATGCAATTGGGGCATTTGAGACCTTCGAGCAGCAATTATGCATCCCCCACTTCACATGGTTCCAAAAAAGGGAAGTCTGGAATGGAGACCTGTAGGAGATTATCGAGCATTGAACGCTCAACAATAAAAGACAAATACCCTATTCCATGTTTAGCCGATTTTACTGCTGCATTGCACGGTACTAAAATTTTTAGTCATGTCGACCTGATTAAGGCATACCATCAAATACCAATTAACCCAGCCGACATCCACAAAACCGCCATATGCACACCATTCGGTTTTTATTCGAAAGTATCCGTATGCAATTCGGCTTATGCAATGCATCTGCGACTTTTCAACGTTTTATAGATGAAGTCACGCGGGATTTAGAAGGCGTTTACGCTTTCGTCGATGACTTGCTCATAGCCTCTAAAGATTCTGAGAGGAACATTGCAGGCATTTGAAAGCTTTATTTTCCAAACTTCAGGAATATGGACTTTGCATAAATGTTTCAAAATGCACCTTTGGTCAAACGTCTATTGATTTCTTAGGTTTTCACCTTAGTGAAAACGGAATTGAACCTCTTCCTGAAAAGTCAAATGTATTTTAGAATTTTCCTCAACCTACCACTCTCACTCAGCTTCGCCGATTTTAGGCATGTTTAACTTTTACAGATGTTTCATACCTAAAGCAGCACATATTCTTTTCTCCTTTAATAAAATTGTTAGAAGGCTATATTAATAAAAAGAAACCTCGTTCTCGTGTTCAGGATTCATCCCCACAATTAAATTGGAACGAGAATGCTGAACAAGCCTTTATTGCTGCCAAAAATGCCATTGCTCAGGCTACCCTTTTGAGACACCCTATTCCCGGAGCCCAGCTAAGCATCTGGGTAGAGCTGCCTCAGACGTCGCAATAGGCGGCACACTTATGCAGTTGTCTCAACAAAACATGGGAACCTATAGCA